TGAAAAGTATCTCTTCCCACCCAAAAAATGTGTCTTATCCTATCCTCAAATTTAGAATGAATACTTATAAATATCTTTTTCCCATTTTGACTGCTCCAACTCCCCTAGAAACAGGGGTGATAGGTGGTAATTAGCAGTCACTGAACCATGAAGTATGTGTGGTGAAACACTCGTGATAGTGGGAGGTGCTGCGGGAAGACACTGCTGAAAGTGTATGGGTAGATGACCGGCCCCCTGGACACGTGACTGGCTGCTGGACGGATGCCCAGCCTAGCAAGTACTCACTTGCCCGTGTTCTGTGCCTGCTGATGTTATACAATATGTCTGTGTGGTATTGGTGACAATGGCTAAGATTGGAGTATAAAATCTGATCTAATTAATGGAATGTGTAAACAGTTTTTAAGCTCACCTGAAAATTGTAAAACATACCTGTTATATGAGAAGCTGAAACTGTGTTAGAACTTTATTGATGGGTGTTAAGTATTAGTTAATTTCCTTATGATAGCTCATTGGTCTGGCTGCCGGCATTCCAAGACAGATGACAATCAGATGTATACATTCTGGTTCCCCCGCTGCCATTCATCTAATGTGAGCTGAAGGTAAAACAGTTGGAGCTTGTAACTGCCATAAGCAGGAGTGTTGACTTCCACTGCAATCCCCACTGTGGGTGATGCTTATGGAAACAGGTCATAGGGGCTCATTCAGTGTACAGTCTGCACCAAGATCAGGCCTTACAATAGCTGCAACCAGATGCCTTCTAAATCTGTTCCCAAGAAACAATCTGAATAGCAGATGCCATCTGAGTCTGGCTGCTGACCTGCCTGGGTTAGTGTGTCATGAATGTGCTTGTTTGTTCGTTGTTTTATGGTGCAGTCAGCAATATTCCACCTGTATCATGGTGACCTGTAATTGATCAAGTCTGGATCAAGCAAACCAGTGTTGATTTTATATATGGGAGCATCATCCAATGCCTTAAGGATGCAATCGTCATAGTCCCTAAGTCAGTCCGCCAGATATTTACCTTTTGTGACAAGCAACAGAGTGTTGGGTAACGAGGTATCAGCACAGGTGTACATTACATCTGCATTAACATATCAACACACCTGTACATTACATCTGCATCAAGGTATCAACACACCTGTACATTACATCTGCATCAAGGTATCAGCACACCTGTACATTACATCTGCATCAAGGTGTCAACACATTGGTACATTACATCTGCATCAAGGTATCAGCACACCTGTACATTACATCTGCATCAAGGTATCAACACACCTGTACATTGCATCTGCATCAAGGTATCAACACATTGGTACATTACATCTGCATTAACAGATCAACACACCTGTACATTGCATCTGCATCAAGGTATCAACATACCTGTACATTACATCTGCATTAACAGATCAACACACCTGTACATTGCATCTGCATCAAGGTATCAGCACACCTGTACATTACATCTGCATCAAGGTATCAGCACACCTGTACATTACATCTGCATCAAGGTATCAACACACCTGTACATTACATCTGCATCAAGGTATCAACACACCTGTACATTACATCTGCATCAAGGTATCAACACACCTGTACATTACATCTGCATCAAGGTATCAGCACACCTGTACATTACATCTGCATCAAGGTATCAACATACCTGTACATTACATCTGCATTAACAGATCAACACATTGGTACATTGTTTCTGCATCAAGGTATCAGCACACCTGTACATTACATCTGCATCAAGGTATCAGCACACCTGTACATTACATCTGCATCAAGGTATCAACACACCTGTACATTACATCTGCATCAAGGTATCAACACACCTGTACATTACATCTGCATCAAGGTATCAACACACCTGTACATTACATCTGCATCAAGGTATCAGCACACCTGTACATTACATCTGCATCAAGGTATCAGCACACCTGTACATTACATCTGCATCAAGGTATCAACACACCTGTACATTGCATCTGCATCAAGGTGTCAGCACACCTGTACATTACATCTGCATCACAGGATCGGGTTTCAGGCACGCTGACTTGGTTGATGCATGTCATCGATCCCAATTCCGTGGATTGATGCATATAATGTCAAACACTGGGTTGTCTGGTCCAGACTCGTTTTTTTACAGACCGCCATCATATAGCTGGAATATTGCTGATTGCGGCTTTAAACAACAAACAAACAAACAACTTCTGCATCCAGGTATCAGCTGTGCATTACATCTGCATTAAGATCTAGTGGTTGCTTGTCAACAGCAATATCACCTAGAGATATTCATTACTAATATCATAGTCATAAATAACCTGTTATGAGGTCAGGAGCAGATACATTGATCCTATCTCTACCTTCAGCTGGTAATACACATAGTGTGTGGTGTCAGTCCCAATGTATGAATGCCAGTTAAGAAAATATTTAATATCTGACATATTCTCTTGGTCATGCAACATATTTGAGAAATAAGGTTGGCTCAATTCCCATTTGTAGTGTAATAAAGTATAGTTCTCCCCTGAACTATTATAGATAAAGCACGAGGATGCAAGCAGCGTTAACTATAATAGTTCAGGGCAAAACAATATTTTATTTCCCAAACACACATGGGTAAAGCAAACTTTATTAATATGCTGATTTTAAGACTAACCTTGTGTTTTATTGAAGCTGGATTTAAATCAAATCTGTAAAGACCTGTGATGTAAAATGAAAATTATCATAGTGGCGCTTGGCTTACAGATTGTCATATCATTTTTATGGATACAAAATCACAAATTGTTTCTCTGCCTTTATGCATGCATATACAACACAAAAAACAGCGGCCCTGCTCGCTATTAAATGCTATAAAATCTGGAACATTCTTGTCTTGACAAAGGAAAAATAGAGAATTTGAAAGATTTTTTCTCATCCTACCTACCCAATATTTTTACAAAAACAAAATATTGAAGTGTCTATTTTGTAAATATTTATGTTGAAGGTCGAGGCACAAATGTGTTCAGAGAAAAACCGAGGAATGAATAAGAAAGGCCTCATTATGCAAGAAGGGTGGTAACTGTGTGAATGGGGGTTATATTATTTGTTGGAGGAGTTCATTATTCCAACAGTGGGGGTGGGTGGCTGCTGTACAGCTGCAGATTTCAGTTTAAGGACATTTTATGTAAGCTTCATGAGTTACTTACAGGTAGAACAGTGAGGCTGGGAAAGGATGTGCTTGTAGTACTGAATTTAGTTTAACAGGAAGCCTTTTATGTGTTCTTTCCTGGTCTGGGCTTTATTTGATCAACTTATTGAAACAAACATTGAATCGAAGTCAAAGTACTTCATTAATAAGATGAAAGAATAGTGGGCAATTACTAATGCTTGAATTATGCTACAATGTACTTCATGATTAATATCATGTTTGATTTGAAGTTTATATGATTTTGTTTGAAGTGAAATGATCTTGCAAGTGTCAAGTATTTGAATTATATTGAGGAAAGAAACCTTTGCCTAGCATCTACAGTGAATTATGGATTAGAATTGATATTTTGCAACCAATGCTTGTCGTAAGAGGCGACTGAAGGGATCGGTTGGTCAGGCTGTGTGACTTGGTTGATGCATGCAATCGTATCCCAATTTTGCAGATTGATGCTCATGATATCAATCATTAGAGTGTCTGGTCCATATTTGATTATTTACAGACCCCTGTCATAAAGCTGGAACATTGCTGAGTGTGGTAACAAACAAACAAACAAAATCTTTTGAAAAATACATAGACCTGATTGTTATGATCTCAAAGAAAATTTCTTACAAACCTATACTTGTATTGGTATACTTCGAACTGAAATATTGTTCAAAACATTGTGAATCCCAACTCACTTTGTTCATTGATAATAGTAACATTAGCCTCAACAAAACAATGCCTGATGAAAAACAAAAACAACAACTCATAAACAACAAACAAACCTGTATTGTATTATAGTGAAAGCTGCATCTGATTAACAAGCACTACAGTGAAGACGTGCATATATCAGACTAGGGCTGGGACAAGTCCAAATTTACTACCTGGGTACCCACCCCCACACTACCCGACCCTACCCGGGTACCCACTGTAGGTCTCAAGAGAAAGGTTCAAAATGTTGGTTAGAGTTTTTTTACCATAGCACTGGCAAAACGTATTTAGATACATGTATTAAACAATCTGATCATGCATACACTGAAGTTGACTTAAGTTATATCTTTATGTTATGTTATATCAGAAAGAATGGGTGCATATATAGTCAGAAAGCATTAGCGACCTGTAGTGCAACCACTGAGCTGTACTGTATAGAGTATTTGTCATTAAACAATATATCATGTGACTAACCACGGGTCCGGGTAGTCCTGTGGGTGCCTGGTTCCTACTCAGTAGCCACATGACCCGAGTACCCTAGTTACCCGTTCCAGCCATATATCAGACATATATAACACTCAACAATTCTGTCCGTCCCTCCGAGATTTGTGTGTGTAACCTATAACTTGAAAATCACGGCATGGATTCATTTCCAATTTAGCAAACAGTTTCCATACTTATAGAAGAGGTGCAGTGCAAAGTTTGATTGAGATATGTGGATTTTCTTAGAAAATATGAATTGTTTCATGTTTGAACTTAGAATATTATTAACTTCAACATTTATGTGACCTATAACTTGAAAACTACTTTATGGATTCTTTTCCAATGGGGGGGCTACAGTTTCTATGCCAATAGGAAGGTGCAGTCCAAAGTTTGATTTCAATAAGTGTATTTTCAGAGAAAATATTGCTTTTTTCATGTTTTGAACTTAGAAATATGTTGGAGTTGAAGTCGGGGATATTAGTCAGCCCTGCTCACTTTTTGCCTTGTTACTTGTGTTATGTGGCTGACGTCTTCTTTCCAGGTTGTGGCCTGGAGGACAGTGCCGGTGGACAGCTCCTCAATTGGTCGAGTTGCTCGCACCATGGAGCCACTGATTCGACAGGTACGTTGTCCGTTTTGTGATTGTCATATTCTGTGTCTTGGGTTGGGGCTGTGTATATCATCCTTGTTAAGATGGGTTTGGGAATGGGTGGTACGGTGAGTTTTATTTTATCAAACACATTAAGAATTGTCAGAAAATATCCATTCCATTTAACAAAAACTATTTGAGGAGACCTAAACAGATATGCTGCAACAGGTAGATAATATATCAGATTTCTGTGATGTAAAAAAGTGAATAATGCTACTTACTTGCACATGCAATTCATCTGACACATATTCTGATTCTTGACTCTCTGCACGTAACTAAAACTCTTGGATGAGGATTTCATCAATACCCTTTTGAATGACAACATCTAATCTAACTTGATGCACACCATCTTTTAGATCTCTCTCAATAACATAACCCTTTTCGCAGATATTAATAATTTAAAACAGGTTTTTTTTCTTTAAATTTTAAGTCATGATCAAGAAATAAAGAAATGTGGCAGTGACATAAGGCAGCTATTAGCTCACTTTTATTGCAAAGCTTATTTATTGATTTCTTCCAGTAATGATAAAGGTTCCATACATGTATGTTGACCCTGCTTCAGACAGCCCCCTACCTTGCTGCCAGTGTTGGTTGCACCTCATGTCGCTTCCTTCATCACTGACATATTTCTTGAGACATATTAACGGAGTGTCTTTGACCAACAAATTGTAGAAATTGCTTAGCCGTCTTGATATAATGGGGGTAATGGATTTGTTATGTTTAAAAAGTCTATTTTTTGCATATGATAGTTTCAGGGAGATTACAGTATATTGTACCTTTGAATATTTATCCTATCCACATTGTACATTTCCACTGTCATGTAAATCATGTATTTATCATCAACACTGCTAGCCTTGCCATGTTAACACATTTCTATTACAGGTATATAAGCATCAGTTAGTTTATGTTTCTAATGGTAGATCCTTATTGCTTTTCATAATTGAGCTGTAAATGTTTCCGCTCTTGTGCGTAATTTCACATATTTTTCAGTTTTGCTGACTTGCCGTTTTCACTGATCACTTTCGAAGCCATGGCTACGAGAATCTAAGTGAGAATTGACTCCTGTCAGAGATCAATTCTGGTGTGTGCTAGGTTTGTTAGTATCCCCATTTGTCCAACAAAATATTTCATTTGTTGTGTCATTTCTTCCCTTTCAGCAGCTTCACAAGAAAATCAATTAATTTAAGACTAAGTCGAAACAACATTAAAGTTGCTTTTAATGATGTCGGACATGATCTGTAAAGTAAGAACTTTCAGGGTGTCAACTAGGAAATATTTTTTATAGATTCCAGCATAGTTATTTCCTTAAAAATATCACTGTCTCATATGGGTGTAGAGTTTTTCTATCATAACATAGGATATGCATTTCAATGACTTGCTATTGTTTTTCTTCTGCAGAGAATGTAGTAAATAGTTTTGCTCTGTGATTGTATGATTACAATTAATAAGGATTATTTATTCAACACCCTGCAAAATTCTATATGTCAATAACATATGACCTAATAAACCTGATAAACGAGAAACCCCCTATTGAGAGAGTAAGTGATGTTACAATCCAAACAGACTGAGTGATGTGAGATGCAGAATGATCAAAAGGCTATGCACAGTACAGTTAATGTTTTGTATCTTCAATAGTACTTTATGTAAAATATATAATTCATTATTTCATTACATTCAGATGAAGTAGGCCTTTGGTGAATTGCTCTTGTAAATGTTTATCATCCAAAGAAAAGAAAAGAAAGGAACACGGAATAAAAGATGTGATACAGAAGGCACCCCAGCATACAGGCCGCCAGTTCCTTAGGTCCTTATTATAGGGAGCAAAACTTCTCTGAAAAACACTCAGATTCCTTAGTTTGTTTAATTTGTTTTCCGGAACCTGTAGTTAAACAAAAGAACTCATTTTGGAAGAAGCGTAGAAAGGAAAGTGTGATGACGTGTCCATGCACACAGAAGTAGGAGATTTATGAAATGTATATGTCACATGAAGTAATCCGTCTGAAATCCCCCCAACTGCTGTAATATGCTCTCCAAAAGAAATATGCATTGGTCAGTAGAAGAAAGATCTGCTTTGAAAAATGACTGGCAGAGATAGAATGGTTTTGAACCAAAACCTAATGCCCCAACACACATGAAATATGGCACGTGGACCGTGTGATTTCTCTGTGCACGTGGCTGTAGGTAGTCTGCCTCCCGGACTCTATAGAGAGAAAAAATGTAAAAAATCCAATTGAAGCCTAGAATGATTTGGCCAGTCTCGATTGCTTCAGCTCTTGTTCTGGGCTCTATTTAGCTTTTATCCTTTTTATTTTGTAGATATATATTTTTAAATAAGATAACTTTATTTGTGGAACTAAATGTCAGTCTAATTGATAGGGTGTCAGTTTTGATTTTGACACTTCAGTGAAAGTCGGACATATCACTCTGAGCCATTAGTAATGTTGATTTTCTTTATCCATTATAACACATATGGTATCTACTCTTGCTGTAATGCAGTAGTTATCAGAGTGGGAATGCGTCCTATGCAACATGATGAACACCTAAGGCCTATTGGCATGCTTCAAATGGCAGAACTCAGAGACAGGTAGCCAATGGGTTCGATGTGTCTCACTCTGTGATTTGCAGACTTTGGAACAGGCTTCTGCAGACACAGAATGTGAATGATCAGCCTCCACACTGGGCACCGTAGGTCAGCAACACAAGTCCAAGATTGGATAATCAGAAACCAGGCAATCAAATCGCTGTTCACTTGCACTAGGACACTGGAGTTGAAGTTACTGACCAGATATCATCCGCATGCCGCTAATGTGCGTGCTCAGTGACCATGTCTTGTACCACCATTAACAAGTCAATGGTGTTTAGAGCACAGACACTGGGAGAATTGACGGTGGTTTCATGTTATGTTTATCAGATGAGTCCAGATTCACTCTGGACTTCCTGGATAGGTGTTGACATGCCTGGAGGCGTACCAACACATGTCATGGAAATGTCAACATAAGGCAACATGATAGATTTAGGGTTGGGTCTATTTGGATATGGGGCTGGATCACTATGACAGCCAGAACGCCACTGCATATTGTCCATGGAAGGGTCACTGGACAGAACTACCGAGACAACACACTAGCTCCAATAGTTGTGCTGTTTGTGGTGCCACGTTTTGTCTTTCAAGATGATAACATTCATGCTCACGATGCACGTATTAGAACTGACAAACTCCAGCAGCTAAACATCAGAAGGCAATGGCCACAAATGAGTCCTGACCTTTCCCCATGGAGCACGTCTGGAACTTGATCAGTTGGGAGACGTGTACACCGATTTCAAAGGCCAGCCACTATGTTAGCTGAACTGAGCAAGAGAAGTGAACAAGACTCCTCAAATTGTCATTGGGAGATTGATTTCGACCATGCCATGCTGTATAAATGAGTGTTTGACCAATCCTGGAGGGGCATGACCCTTTATTGATCAAGTCATCTCAAATGTTCATTGTTTACTACGAAATCCCTGACGTTCTGCTTGGTTGTTTGCACCCTTACAATACATCTCCAACATGATCAGGTGAATGTCCTGTAACATCTTGTCCTTATCCGTTCATTACCATAACTCGATACACCAACATTTCTGTTATTTTTGGAGAGGCACTACTTATTTTGGAGAGTATATTTATTAGGTAACTCCTTTTACAAAATTCTGCTGACATCCTGGAGGTACCCATTAGTTAAACCTTTGTGTTTCAGTGATAACTGTATGACCTGCATTACTTTGGGCCTTCCTCCTTCCATTACCATATATATGACCAAAATACTATAGCTTTGAAATACTATGGCTTCTTGTGAAGATCCAGGTTAGAATAGGTCTTCAGCAACCCATGCTTGTCGTAAAAGGCAAATAACGTGATCTGGTGCTCAGGCTCACTTACTTGGTTGATGCATGTCATTGTATCCCAATTGTGTGGATCCCAATTGTGTCAACCACTGGATTGTCTGGTCCAGACTCCATTATTTACAGACCGCTGTCATATAGTTTGAATATTGTTGAGTACGGCGTTAAATGACAAACAAACAAACAAACAAACAAACAAACAAACAAACCATAGCTTCACCATTCTGAGCACTGCACCAGAAGCACCAGCAAGTGTGACCACATGTCAGATGTACTGACACAGGTCCATCAGCAGAATCATATCAACCTACTGTCCACTGCATTATTAACTACCAAAACACATAGCAGCGTTACTCACACTTTAAAACATAATACCTCTAACTTTTGCAGAATAACTCTTGTTATGAACTTTTGTAAAGATTGTCTTTTAACATGCATAACTCCTTATGCTGGGTGCCTAGCACCTCCTCATGTTGTGTGTGCAGGTGGCTGGGGTGCCTGTAGTTGTAGTGACAGTTTACGGACAATTACACAAACTGGATTTGCCCCCATTGTCTGATTGGGTCATATGTTATTAAACCTGCAAGGTGCCACGCTGTATAGCTGAATGACTTTGTGAAGTAAACATGAAATGAGCAACTTCAATACACTCCTAACAATTCTGAAGTATGTGGATTTTATCTCCTCAGCACAGTTCTCCAAATGCCTATTTATTTGCAGTGATTTTTGAACTCTGTATCTCTATACTTGTCACAACATTTGTGTACATTGCTGCTTTAATCCTTGACACATATCGTAGATGACTTGTCTGCATGATTATGTTTGTATCTGTTACCATAGTTACTTGTCTGTTCATTCCAATAGAAGAGAAAATTACCTTAGTGCCCTTTTATTGCAGGTGTTTGTCACAGGGGGCGACAGCCAGGAGGAGTTCTACAGACAGGTGAGTTCCACGTTCCCATTGTACCTGATTAAGTCTTCCTTGGATTTCCACCATGTCTGTCTGCTAAACTTGAGATAATGTCCCCTTGACCTGATTTCCTGTGAGATAATGTACATCTTCTAAAGGCAAGGGAGTTAACTGACTATAAAAGTCCAGTTTCCACCCTTGCCGAACTAGGCTGGAATAATGGTGTTCTATTTTGGCTGGACTAACGAGTCTATGCACACTCCAATCAAAATCACGTAAAAACAAAATCAACATTGGGTTCGTAAACTGCCATGCAAATAACTGTCAATTGCCGGATTTGCAAAGCATGTCAACTTAGCGTCAACAGATATTTTCCAAATTTTTAATTTTTTTTAAATAAGGTGATTTCATGCACTTTGTGAAGTAAGACTCGTTTTGTTACAATATATATCTTGATTAGCGATCAGATCGTCTTCAGTTGTTGCCACCATTATGTTTGAAGCAAGTGCAAGTGATATTAGAGGTGGAATCTGATTGGTCTACAGGAGGGACATAGAAGGGACATAGAAGGGACATAACTCGTAATAGCCACTTGTAGTGCTGCGATCGAACCCAGAAAATCAGGGTTAGTTCGACAAGGGTGGAAACTGGACTTTTACAGTCAGTTAATTCCTTTGCCTTGGGTAGATGGATAATGTACTGATGAGATAATGTCCTCAGGATAAAATGTACACTTGAGACAAGCACCCCTGTGGAAACAGTACCCTCAGCCCTACCCAAACACTGAGATTGGTCAATACTATGGCTGAATTAGATAATCACCTGATTTCCTTGCAACAAACAAATGACCTATATAGGTCCGTGGACAAACTATACATGTCCATATGAGTGTGCGTATGTGCTAGGTCTTCTGTGTGATGTTTTAAGATGTGGTCTTTATTGCATGGAGTTTGTGATGGGAGGCTTTAAGGGTTGCCTATCAGTTGATAGTGTGAGCAGCTGAATGAACATTTAGGAAAAGCTTTTTGATGCATGTATGTCTGGATTTAGGCAACACAAAACATCTAGTTTTTTTCAATGAGATTCTAGATTTAAGGTCTATACAATTGTTAATTGGTAGTTCAAGTACACAGTCAGACAACAGCAATCTGTTTGAGAACAATTAATGGTTATGTATATATAAACCAAGATTTTGCTTTTGGAATTGGAGAAGTGCACATGATTCATAACAGGATCACTGTGCGTGAAATGTTTTTTAATGAGATATATTATATATTTTTGCCTAATAAAATTTATTTACATGACAAGATAATATACAATTTTGATCCAATACAGAAACTAAATATTTTGGATGTGTTTTATTCTTGTGTTGGAAACATAGGAGGCTCAAGCAGCTCAGGTAGGCTAGGAAGATGTGTAGGATGTCCTGTCACTGTGTGGTATTGTCTCCTTAACATGCTGCATTCTTTGTTGACATAGTTTTTATTCAACATTCACTTCAGCTTTTTGCATTGTGGTATTTGCATGTAGACATATTAGTGCTACAAATGGTACATATCTAATTTTGACATTTTCAGTTTTCACTTCTTATACTAATCGAAAATATGTTACATATTCCTAAATAGTGTTTTTGCTACATTAGATTACTACAGTATTTAACAGTGTTTTTTATCATTGTTGTAGTTATATAGTTACTAGAGTTTTTATTCCCCATTCGATGTACAGTGGACAGTTTACCTCACTGGCCATCAGTAGGTGTTAGAGTCCAGGCCTAGGTCCTAACTACTGACCATTCCTTACAAGAACGTGCACACACATATATCATCCTGGTGGGGATGCATATTACTCAATCAGTAATTAGGAAATTTTGATTTGGTAATTTCCATAGAACCAAGTAGGATTTATGGTGTTTGAAGTTAAGCCTGTTTCAGGAGTGTATCTCTTTGTCAGTAAAGTAGATTGCTTTGATGTCGACACAGTTCTGCTAAAAGAGACGTAAAACCTACAGACTCACTCACTCAGTTGGCAATGATTATTGAAAGTTTGCGATATTAACCTTTTCATATCAGTTTTGCTGTGTATTAAAATATATACATGTCAGATTTGCAGTGCCATTTTAGTTGGTGTGTTTTCTCATTAATAATCCTGCACATAGTCCTGGTTCAGTGTGCACATGTATTGATAGGGTGTTGGTGCATGCGTGTGTATAGCACAGGCATGACATGTTGTTGTTGTTGTTTTTGAAATCCGAGTTGTTGAAATCCGAGTTGTTGTTTTCATATCTTTGACCTTGTCAGTCATACTATGTCATTTGGGTTGGTGACAAATATGAAAATCAGGTCAGTGAATGACAATAATTTTATACGTAAAAAGACATGAAGGGTTAATATATTCTTATGGCATATGAAATATATGTGTGCAATAATGACTGTTAAAAATTTGTTATGGTGACTTTTTGTAAGACAAATCTAATGAACATAAAATTAAATGAGTGTTACTTTTTAGAACTTGAAATATTAAAACATTCCAGGTCCTTAGTCTTTGGAAGTCTATAAGAACACAGTCACTACAAGAACATAAATTAAAAGGTTCCAGACTTATTTGGAAATATGTGTTTGTTTTTTTCCAAGTTTAGATAATCATATTTGTGTAAGATTGGTGGAGAAATATACTGATTCCTGAAGAAAGGAAACATGAATGTGCCACATGCACGGGTAAAAACATTGTATAAGGATAGATCACATATTTAGAAATAAGTTAATTGGAGGACTGGAGAACGGAGAAGGGAAAAAAGTTATTGTGCATACCTGCACATGATATGTATGGGGGACAAGCAGACATGGAGAAATAGGTTTGGTGCACACATATGAAGAGAAATAAGTTTGTTTGCACACACATGAAGAGAAATAAGGTTGTTTGCACACACATGAAGAGAAATAAGGTTGTTTGCACACACATGAAGAGAAATAAGGTTGTTTGCACACACATGAAGAGAAATAAGGTTGTTTGCACACACATGAAGAGAAATAAGTTTGTTTGCACACACATGAAGAGAAATAAGGTTGTTTGCACACACATGAAGAGAAATAAGTTTGTTTGCACACACATGAAGAGAAATAAGTTTGTTTGCACACACATGAAGAGAAATATGTTTGTTGCTCACACAATGTGTATTGAGTGATGTTGTTGTGACAGATGTACCTCCTGCGGAAGTATGCATCTCACCACATCCCCACTGACACCCGACGCTTCTACATCTGCAGCCTCCATCATGAGATCATTGTGTACAAGGTAAGCTGACAACTGTGTCTCACAATATCATCTCGCCAGTGTGGTCACTTGGACAACTGGGGATGTTGTCAGTAAGGGTGAAAAACTCTATCCGAGTCATGGTTATGACTATGATGAACCAGCTAGTTGTTGCTGTTGCCACTTGTATGTGGGGTAGTACACACTACTACCACTTGTATGTGGGGTAGTACACACTACTACCACTTGTATGTGGGGTAGTACACACTACTACCACATGTATGTGGGGTAGTACACACTACTACCACTTGTATGTGGGGTAGTACACACTACTACCACTTGTATGTGGGGTAGTACACACTACTACCACATGTATGTGGGGTAGTACACACTACTACCACTTGTATGTGGGGTAGTACACACTACTACCACTTGTATGTGGGGTAGTACACACTACTACACACTACTACCACTTGTATGTTGGGTAGTACACACTACTACCACTTGTATGTTGGGTAGTACACACTACTACCACTTGTTTGTGGGGTAGTACAAACTACTACCACTTGTATTAGGGGTAGTACACACTACTACCACTTGTATGTGGGGTAGTACACACTACTACCACATGTATGTGGGGTAGTACACACTACTACCACTTGTATGTGAGGTAGTGCACACTACTACACACTACTACCACTTGTATGTGGGGTAGTACACACTACTACCACTTGTATGGGGTAGTACACACTACTACCACTTGTATGGGGTAGTACACACTAGTACCACTTGTATGTGGGGTAGTACACACTACTACCACTTGTATGTGGGGTAGTACACACTACTACCACATGTATGTGGGGTAGTACACACTACTACCACTTGTATGTGGGGTAGTACACACTACTACCACTTGTATGTGGGGTAGTACACACTACTACCACATGTATGTGGGGTAGTACACACTACTACCACTTGTATGTGGGGTAGTACACACTACTACCACTTGTATGTGGGGTAGTACACACTACTACACACTACTACCACTTGTATGTTGGGTAGTACACACTACTACCACTTGTATGTTGGGTAGTACACACTACTACCACTTGTATGTGGGGTAGTACAAACTACTACCACTTGTATTAGGGGTAGTACACACTACTACCACTTGTATGTGGGGTAGTACACACTACTACCACATGTATGTGGGGTAGTACACACTACTACCACTTGTATGTGAGGTAGTGCACACTACTACACACTACTACCACTTGTATGTGGGGTAGTACACACTACTACCACTTGTATGGGGTAGTACACACTACTACCACTTGTATGGGGTAGTACACACTAGTACCACTTGTATGTGGGGTAGTACACACTACTACCACTTGAATGTGGGGTAGTACACACTACTACCACTTGTTTGTGGGGTAGTACACACTACTACCAGTTGTATGTGGGGTAGTACACACTACTTCCACTTGCATGTGGGGTAGTACACACTACTATCACTTGTATGTGGGGTAGAACACACTACTACCACTTGTATGTGGGGTAGTACACACTACTACCACTTGAATGTGGGGTAGTACACACTACTACCACTTGTTTGTGGGGTAGTACACACTACTACCACTTGTATGTGGGGTAGTACACACTACTACCACTTGTATGGGGTAGTACACACTAGTACCACTTGTATGTGGGGTAGTACACACTACTACCACTTGTATGTGGGATAGTACACACTACTACCACTTGTATGGGGTAGTACACACTACTACCACTTGTATGGGGTAGTACACACTAGTACCACTTGTATGTGGGGTAGTACACACTACTACCACTTGTATGTGGGGTAGTACACACTACTACCACATGTATGTGGGGTAGTACACACTACTACCACTTGTATGTGGGGTAGTACACACTACTACCACTTGTATGTGGGGTAGTACACACAATTGCCACATGTATGTGGGGTAGTACACACTACTACCACATGTATGTGGGGTAGTACACACTACTACCACTTGTATGTGGGGTAGTACACACTACTACCACATGTATGTGGGGTAGTACACACTACTACCACTTGTTTGTGGGGTAGTACACACTACTACCACTTGTATGTGGGGTAGTACACACTACTACCACTTGCATGTGGGGTAGTACACACTACTACCACTTGCATGTGGGGTAGTACACACTACTATCACTTGCATGTGGGGTAGTACACACTACTATCACTTGTATGTGGGGTAGTACACACTACTACCACTTGTATGTGGGGTAGTACACACTACTACCACATGTATGTGGGGTAGTACACACTACTACCACTTGTATGTGGGGTAGTACACACTACTACCACATGTATGCGGGGTAGTACACACTACTACCACTTGTACAACACGTGCATCAAAGAGTTACCACATCTTAGTAGTTACTACTACTACCAGAACATGTTGTGAGATCAGGGGTGTTCCTTTCATGTGAAAACAAGTACTCAAGTCACTGATGCCGACTCTTTTGTCTGATATCCAGGGTCTTCTGAGCACAGACCAGCTGTGGAAGTACTACTACGATCTGACAGACCCTGATTTTGAGACCCACATTGCCCTTATCCACAGTCGCTTCTCCACCAACACCTTCCCCAGCTGGGAGAGGGCTCACCCTCAGAGGTTTGTATGTCCTCTTGCCGGCCCACCCCAAGTAGGTTCACCCCTAGTAGGTTCACCCCAAGTAGGTTCACCCCTAGTAGGTTCACCCCTAGTAGGTTCACCCCTAGTATGTTCACCCCTAGTATGTTCACCCCTAGTATGTTCACCCCTAGTATGTTCACCCCTAGTATGTTCACCCCTAGTATGTTCACCCCTAGTATGTTCACCCCTAGTAGGTTCACCCTGAGTAGGTTCACCCCGAGTAGGTTCACCCCGAGTAGGTTCACCCCGAGTAGGTTCACCCCGAGTAGGCTCAGCCCGAGTAGGCTCAGCCCGAGTAGGCTCAGCCCGAGTAGGTTCACCCCCAGTAGGTTCACCCCGAGTAGGCTCAGCCCGAGTAGGCTCAGCCCGAGTGGGTTCACCCCCAGTGGGTTCACCCCCAGGAGATTCACCCCGAGTAGGCTCACCCCGAGTAGGCTCACCCCTAGTAGGCTCACCCCGAGTAGGCTCACCCCAGTAGGTTCACCCCGAGTAGGCTCACTCCCAGTAGGTTCACCCCGAATAGGCTCAGCCCGAGTAGGCTCAGCCCGAGTAGGCTCACCCCCAGTAGGTTCACCCCGAGTAGGTTCACCCCGAGTAGGCTCTACCAGAGTAGGTTCACCCCTAGTATGTTCACCCCGAGTAGGTTCACCCCGAGTAGGTTCACCCCCAGTAGGTTCACCCCGAGTAGGCTCAGCCCGAGTAGGCTCACCCCCAATTGGTTCACCCCAAGTAGGTTCACCCTGAGTAGGTTCACCCCGAGTAGGTTCACCCCTAGTATGTTCACCCCTAGTATGTTCACCCCGAGTATGTTCACCCCAAGTAGGCTCACCCCCAGTAGGTTCATCCCGAGTAGGTTCATCCCGAGTAGGTTCACCCCCAGTAGGTTCACCCCCAGTAGGCTCACCCCCAGTAGGCTCACCCCGAGAAGGTTGGCCCCTAGTAGGTTCAGCCCCAGTAGGTTCACCCTGAGTAGGCTCACCCCAAGTAGGTTCAATCCGAGTAGGCTCACCCCCAGTAGGTTAACCCAGAGTAGGTTTACCCCAAGTCGGTTCACCCCAAGTAGGTTCACCCGAGTACTGATACACCCAAAGGGGGAGGGAGAACCAGGTTCACCGGGAGTGGGTTCACCCCGAGTAGGTTCACCCCGAGTAGGTTCACCCGAGTACTGATACACCCAAAGGGGGAGGGAGAACCAGGTTCACCGGGAGTAGGTTCACCCAAGTGCCGATACACCTAAAGGGGGAGGGAGAACCAGGTTCACCCCGAGTACGTTCACCCGAGTACTGATACACCCAAAGGGGGAGGGAGAACCAGGTTCACCCCGAGTAGGTTCACCCAAGTGCTGATACACCTAAAGGGGGAGGGAGAACCAGGTTCACCCCGAGCACGTTCACCCGAGTACTGATACACCCAAAGGGGGAGGGAGAACCAGGTTCACCGGGAGTAGGTTCACCCCGAGTAGGTTCACCCCGAGTAGGTTCACCCCGAGTAGGTTCACCCGAGTACTGATACACCCAAAGGGGGAGGGAGAACCAGGTTCACCCCGAGTAGGTTCACCCGAGTACTGATACACCCAAAGGGGTAGGGAGAACCAGGTTCACCCCGAGTAGGTTCACCAAGTGCTGATACACCCAAAGGGGGAGGGAGAACCAGGTTCACCCCGAGTACGTTCACCCGAGTACCGATACACCCAAAGGGGGAGGGAGAACCAGGTTCACCCCGAGTAGGTTCACCCGAGTACTGATACACCCAAAGGGGGAGGGAGAACCAGGTTCACCCCGAGTAGGTTCACCCGAGTACTGATACACCCAAAGGGGTAGGGAGAACCAGGTTCACCCCGAGTAGGTTCACCAAGTGCTGATACACCCAAAGGGGGAGGGTCAACCCTTTGCAGTTGGAGGCAACAGATGGCTGCTGAGTGTGGCAGGAGATATGTAGCACAGGGCATTGGACAGTTGACAGGCCTAGCAAAAGTAATTCAAGTCCCCTCTTTACTTCTGTTTTTATGAACTAGTTCAACTGCAATTGTCAGTATAACAGTAGATGGGGTTGCCCAGGTTACACAGAGACTCTCGACACAGACCCGGGACAAAGGCTCCCCATTATCACATAGTAGAGTAGCCCATTCGGTGTCAGTGCACACATTGCACCCTAGTCACAGGTTCTGTTTCCTATGTGGATACATTTGTTAAAGTCTTGGTGTTCTGACATACCAAGTCGGTACAGGCCTTTTAAAGATTGTGACATCTCCAATACTGTGTTGCTGACATGTCCATGTGCCCTGCCCAGATACCTGGCCCATAATGGGGAGATCAACACCCTGCGCGGCAACGTGAACTTGATGAAGGCCAGGGAGGGGGTGATGCACAGCCAGGTGTACGACGACAAGCTGAAGATGGTCTACCCCGTGGTGGAGGAGGGCATGTCTGACTCCGGCTGTGTCGACAACGTCCTGGAGTTTCTCTGCATGGCTGGAGGCAGGTCTCTCCCAGAGGTCAGTGGACTGACACACAAAACATCGTCCAATGTCCTGCTGTTGTTTAACACTGCAGTTTGATATCAATCCCTGAATAATAAGTTAACACAAGAGGGATCTCCAAATGTTCATATCTAAAGAGTAAATCGCCCAGTGATATGGATATGTGCATCATATCAACTGAATAAGTACAACTTTTTTTTAAACTTTGTGACAAATCTTTTCAAAAGCCTGATTTAATAGTCACTACATTGATTTGCTGTGTAATATATGCTCCTATTATGTTAAATGTGGTGAATGTGGTAATTATCAGTTACATGTTTCATACCACAAGCCGGAGGCTAACATGCCGACATGTGCCATTGCAAAAGAAGTAATACAAATTGATGGAAAAAAGGTGTTCAATGGAGCTGAGGTGAACTTGTGCTGTGTCGCATGAATTTCATTGACTCCCGCTCAGAAATTTCTTTCCCTCCCAAACGGGGTACATTGTATTTTATCAAAATCACATGAACCAATCAGGTCCCAACATTCAGACAATGAGGTAAGATAAGAAACTCTCATGTCCCCACAGGCTGTGATGACCATGGTGCCGGAGGCATGGCAGAATGACAAGAACATGTCCATGGACAAGAAGGCTTTCTACAGGTGGAGCGCCTTTGCCATGGAGCCCTGGGACGGACCTGGTAGGCACATTATGCTGGTCAATGAAGACTGTCATATTCACAAAGAAATGTCATTGTTTCATGTGTGATTTGGTTTTGTTGCTGGGGAATCCCTAAGTGATTATTTACTCACTTCATCTTTGAACAAACTATAGTTGATTTTGTAGACTTAATTGCTGTTGATGAAGTTAAGTGTTTGATTACTGACTTGTCTACTGCAGCTCTGCTGACCTTCACTGATGGCCGATATATTGGAGCCATTCTTGACCGCAATGGCCTGCGTCCATCTCGGTTCTATGTTACCAAAGACAACTTCATGTACATGTCCAGTGAGGTGGGCGTCACTAACAGACTTCCTAGTGAGATCATTCAGAAGGTAAGTTGTTGATGTATCTGGGTCACATTTTGATCAGGTCCTTATTTGTGCATTTGTTAGAGATGACCAGACTCCCAGAGACATGCAGGTTACCAGACGTAGTAATTATTCCACCAAGATAACTGAACCACAGTGTTATGTGATGCAAGTCCCTCTGATTGTGTGTCTCCTCCTCACCAGGGTCGGCTGAAGCCGGGACGTATGTTGCTGGTGGACACAAAGGAGAAAGTCTTCATGAAGGACGAAGTTCTCAAGTCACAGATTTGCTCCATCAGACCAGTGGGCAAGTGGTTGTCTGAGGTGAGTACAGTCAGACCAGTGGACAAGTGGTTGTCCAAGAGAGTACAGTCAGACCGGTGGACAAGTGGTTGTCCAAGAGAGTACAGGCACAGTTGCTGTAATATGCTTTGCAGACTTGTGTCCCTTAGTAATGTCAGAATCCACTTGAAGCCCAGATTTGCCCTGATTATTGTCTTTGTCTGCACTCTACCATTGCTCATTGCAGTTTGGGCTTTCCTTCCTGATTTAGCTGACATGCCTTGAAATACTGTTCATTGCAGTATTGAACCCAACTCATTCACTCACTCACTGAAATGAAGAGTAACAGTGTCATATAATTATTTTGTATTTGAGTTTATTAGATTGGCACTGTTCAGAAAATGTGCCACAACAAGTCAGTTAGTTTGTGTGTTGAATGATTCCACTGTTCACTCCCCTTGCAGACTATATCCATGGCCGAGCTGCAGAGGTCTCACAACTCAGGCAGCCTTGAACCCCCAGAGGTTGTGCGCCATGACTTGGGCCGCGGGAGTTGTGTGGAGGAGGATTCTCGACTGCCCATGTTCGGCTACACCATCGAGGCCCTCAACATGCTGGTCTTGCCCATGATCAGGGACAAGTAAGTGCTCTAAAGCAGACTTTAGTTAATATCGTGACCTTTTTTGTCTTCCACTAGATATGTCCAGCTTTGGGAAACTTGCTCATTGTCAGACATGTCTGACATAGGGACCAGGGTTAGAATAGGTATCCAGGACATCATTGCTGGTTATAAGAGGTGAGTTTCTCTGTGACTAGACATGTCTGACATAGGGACCAGGGTTAGAATAGGTATCCAGGACATCATTGCTGGTTATAAGAGGTGAGTTTCTAGGGTCATTACGTCACTGGTTTGACTTGTCCAGATTAATTTATATACTAACTCCCATAATAGCTGGAATATTGTTGACGAAGGCAATAAACAACATCAGCCATTTCTACTGGAGAGTATACATGGACTTTTCCTTCAGGAAAGAAGCTCTTGGTTCTATGGGAAATGATACTCCACTGGCCTGTCTGTCTCGCTTCAACCCCCTCGTGTTCGAGTACTTCAAGCAGCTGTTTGCCCAGGTCACCAACCCTCCCATCGACCCCTTCAGGGAGAAGATCGTCATGTCACTGGTACGTTCACTCTTTCCTTTCAGTCTTGTTCAGGAACTGTTCTGCTGAACTCTTTTTTTCACTGAATCTGTCTCTGCTCCGAGTAAGCTTGACCTGTTGACCTGTTGCAGGCATGCCCTGTGGGTCCAGAGGCGAACATCCTGGAACCGAGCGCGGAGCAGTGTCAGCGTCTGTGGCTGGAGCAACCCATCCTCTCACTGTGGGACATGGAGGTGCTGAAGAACTGCAACCACAAGGGATGGAAGGTAGGGGCCAGAGCAGCCACTCTCACTGCAGCAGAGATAAATCTATACTTTGGGACTGCGGGATTCATGCAGTATCACAGCATATTAATAATGGGGAGTTTTGCTTACAAATTTAAGTGGTCAGATGTGTAATCCATGACTAATGGTCATTGAATGCAATCATCAAGGATGCATAAAATTACTTCCGATATGAAAACATCTGCCTTTAAGATCTCAAAGGAAATGGGAATTGTCAATGCTGCCTATAAGATTTAGATATTTGTCACAATGTCATAGTCCAATCAGCATTCGAGTATCAAGGAATAATATTCCGCAGTCAGTCGCAATTTATCACAGTACATATCCATGAATGTCTGAATGTCAGATTGGAGGTCATTATTGCATCCCTAGATGCTCACATGTAGGTTTGTGTGTCAGACCAAGTTGATCGACATGGTGTTCCCACTTGAGGCCGGCCCGGACGGCCTCCTACCAGCCCTCAATTCTGTGTGTGAGCAGGCCGCTGCAGCAGCAGAAGACGACTACAAGCTCATTGTGTTATCTGACAGGAAGGCCGATAAGGACTTTGTTCCTATCAGGTAATGATGACTAAATACCCAATAGATGGGGCTACAATTTATTCCTTGAATAGAGACTTTTGCAAGGGGCTGTCTTTGTCAGTCAGGTCATATATAAAAAGGGACTGATCATTTATAATAGGGCCAGTGCAAGGGGTCATGAAAAAATGACACAATGAAAGTGTGTGTGTGTGTTTTGTGTGTCCCAAAGTTTATCACAACTGGTGGTGGTGGGTGGGGGACATGAAAAACTGACACAAATTTTATTTTTTCAAATAAAAACTTTGGTACATTATTTAGGGACTGGTCATTTATAATAGGGAAGGGGGTTTCAATAAATATGTTACATGTATGTTACAAAATATCATCAAAGACCAATCTCACTGACTAAGAAATGAAAATGAAATATTAAATTAGAAATGTTAGACACAATATTTAATCCATTTTAGTTGCTTCCATGACTATGAGTGTTAACAAGTTGTGTATAGTGATGGAATATGTTGTCTCTTGCAGTTCCCTGCTGGCAGTGGGGGCAGTCCATCACTACTTGATAGACCGCAAACTCAGAATGAAGGTCGGACTTATTGTTGAAACAGGGGAAGCAAGGTGAGAGGTCATCAGGGGAGATAACTTGTAATGAAAACTCAAAAGAGTAGTTTCCCTTACTTACTATGATAACAGTACTTTCCATCGTATGTACTTCACGGATATGTATCCACTACATTCCTACATACTACATGAGGTATATGGTCACTATTTATTACCAAATCAAGCAATGGGCTTTGTTCCAGCGATAGGTAAAACAGCGAGTGCACTAACCAATTAGCAGTCATTACACATTGCTGCGGGGGCGGTGTGGAAGCCTAATAGTTAAAGTGTTTGCTTGCCACGCCGAAGCCCCGGGTTCAGTCCCCCACATGGGTACAATATGTGAAGCCCTTTTCTGGTGTCCCCTGCTGTGATATTGCTGGAATATTATTAAAAGCGGCGTAAAACCATACTTACTCACTCACTCACTCACTCACTCTACACATTGCTTCAATGTTGGACAATGGTAGTGTTCGCACATGCACAGAGTAGGGCGCATTTGTCTTCTGTGAGTCGGTCTCGTCTCATTAGCTGGCTTTACAAGAGACACACGTCACCACTACACTAGTGGCCAATGAGTATTGACAATCAGTGTAGATAATTTCACAGGAAAGAAATGGAGCATGAAGTAAGTTTCAATACGCACTGTAAACAAGTAATCATTCCTGAATGATATTAACATATCTCTGAATACGGACTGTGTTCTGTCCCTGTTGCAACTGAAAGTTTCTGCTGGTCAGAGAGCCTTGGGTTTGGAAGTACACTAACCTCATGTATATTGAGGCTTAGTTGAATGTTCTAGTAAGTGAAGCTGTTGAAGAACGTCTTAAGCTGGGCTTTATTCAGTGTTCTGCCTCCCCAGAGAGGTGCACCACCTGTGTACACTGCTTGGCTATGGTGTGGACGCCATCTGCCCCTACCTGGTGTTTGAGACAGTGCGACGCCTGAGGGAACAAGGTATCCTGAACCCCCCTCTGGCTGACGAGGAGATCTACATGAACTTCCGGGCTGCGTGTGCTCGCGGCATCTCCAAGGTCATGGCCAAGATGGGTATCTCCACCCTGCACAGCTACAAGGTATGTACCGGGATAGATATCTAACCCATGGCTGTTAGTTATTAGGATAAATTAACTTGTAATGAACTGATGGTTAAGTTTTAGTTCTTTGTTGAACCCCTGAGTAGTATAGGTAATAGGGGTTCTGGCTCACTTCCACTGGAGCCGGATTTATATACCTATACTGCTACTACAGATGGAATTTTTTATGCGTAAATGATTATGTGATTTAATGATAGTCATGAGATTAAGTTAAATTGACTCTAGCTCACCACCACCTGGAGCCAATGATATAAATTTTTATAGGTAATGATGGTTCTGGACCACTTCCACTGGAGCCAGATTTGTATTAAACGAAACATCAATATTAATTAATAATGGATAAAATTTACTATAGCCCACGAGGATATTGGAAAGGTGTAGGTAACTAAACTGTTAACAAAGCACGATGTCGAAATCGTCTGTGGTGAAAGAGAGGCCCACCGCAGTCAAGCTATCGTCGAAAGATTTAACAGGACATTAGCGGAACGTTTGTTTGGCTATCAGTATGGGATCGAAATGAAATCCGAGCGATTGAGATCAACCGAATGGGTGACACGATTATCAGCCGTTGTATCAGCGCTGAATAATGAAGTAACGAGATTAATTTTTTCTGCCATATCTTTATACACATCCTCGGTTTGTATTTCCATCAACAAAGAATCTGTGTCGGTATATAACACCTCGCATCTATCGCCGTATTGCTTCTTAAGTTCGTTGTAATAAAAGTCATACATTAAATGTTTTGACAAGTCGAGAATACTCATACCGACGTACACCGGTCTGTTGAATTTTATATTACTCTTCTGCATATGCAAGGGGCGGTCGGGTAGCCTAGTGGTTAAAGCGTTCGCTCGTCACGCCGAAGACCCGGGTTCGAATCCCGACATGGGTACAATGTGTGAAGCCCATTTCTGGTGTCCCCCGCCGTGATATTGCTGGAATATTGCTAAAAGCGGCGTAAAACCATACTCACTCACTCTGCATATGCAACGCGGCTAAGTCGTTATCAAATATCTTGCTTCTGTTAAAAGCCGGACTGGCTATAAGTTTCCTGAGTCTTTCTTCCTCATTAGATCTGACTAATTTAACATCAACACGCTTCCTTAGATTCTCCATAGTTTTACCAAATACCGAGTTATTCATGAGCTTATACAGATTCTTTTCAAAATCGCTGGTAGCTATCTTTCTTAAATCTGTGTTCAACCTTATATAGGGCTCCATCCAAGGACTTTGATCGAACTTTAGAACTCTGTGTATTTTCTTAAGTTTCATACCTAACGATAGATACAACTGGAGATTTCTGTAGTGAACTATATATTTTGTTATCCAATCTTTATTAACCATTAATCTTTCGGGAGCTAGCGGATAACTGTTATGATCTTTATGTAACGAACTTGGATATTCCAAGTCAACTTCTAGTATGTACCCTTTATTCACTTCGATATCATTATTATGGATATTAATATCATTCACTTCGATATCATTGGCCCATTCAAAACCACCCGTGGGTAAAGGTTGACTCATAGCCCATCCGTACAAATTGTTAGCGTCGAGATATAATATGTGCGTGTCGGGTTTACTGGGATCGTATCCTTCCACTAATTTATTATTAGCCTTAGAATACCTTTTAGCTGCCATCGATATACCACCTCTTAATCCTTTCTCAATAAACAAGTGCATATCGTAATCTGTGAGTAGTTTTAGTTCTACGCCGGTCTTCTTCAACAATGCATCCCATGATAGTCCGGGACTGGAATAGTACCATGCCGGGTCCAAGCCATATTGTTTGAAACATGTCTTTCTAAATATCTCGAATATATCGGCGAGTAACAGTACATCGGTTTTTAAGTACAGATCGTGATAATCTCCTAAATTCTTACAACCTAATTTATCCCAGACCGTCAGAGCGTGTTCATAATCGGCATCTGTTATTCTAGATTCTGTTAAGTTACTATAGAATGGTTCGAGGCGTGGTAATTCAGTTTCTTCGAATCTAGACCAATCATCCATATATTCGTAAGGATATACACCTTTTCTCAGCAACAAATGACGAGTTATCTTATCGGTATATTTATTTGTTATCGCAAAGTCATCGGGATTGTTCGCATTAGCTAAATTGTCCAGGGAAGATAACAGAAACTGTACGGAGTCTATGAATCTAAGCCCATTACTTTGCTTTGTTCTAGATTTCCCATCCTTGTCCCTATAATGTATAGGTTTAGTCAACGAGAACGATATGTATTTTTCCATATTGTTAGGAATGCACGTTAAACCACCGTCGGTCTTCGAGATAGCTTGCATAATGAGATGTGAATCGTATCCCCTAAGGTTATGAAACACAACGGGGATGGGTATTGTTTGAGAGTTCATTTTTAGTTTCAAGTTACACTCGTTATGAGCGGCTCCCCGATAATTACCCGTGACGTGGCAATGATCTCTTACGGAATCCCCATCCAGGGGTTTATTACAAACGTGACAACTCGTTGACTTCTTATGGGCCCTCCAATCATCCCTCGTCATACGCATGGGTTTCTTACACGATAATTTTTCCCTGATTATTCTCTCTTCATTTTGTAGATATTCTAGGAACTTTCCCGCTGCATCGGGACCTCTGTAAATCACGGGCGGGTTTGTTTTCCCATCATACCTTACAACTATATATCCAAACCCACAAGGAATATGTTCTTGAGTTTTGTACGTAAAACTATTATCAGTATTGCTATGGTTGGTATTTTCTATGGGTTTGATAAGCGATTCGAAGTCGGCGTAAATTACGTACGGTACTGGCATTTGATTACAATAATGTTCAAATTTTAATATATTTTTTCCTTCTTTAGGCATATCGATCCTGATAGCATTCTGTCCAACACCTCTACAGTCTTCTTTATGCGCTTCTAATAGATCTTGTCTGCTGTACCCATGCAGGCATCTTTCGCAGAAATATTTCTTTCCCTTATATTTAGTTTGATCGTATAATAGCTTGTTTAAACTCTTTATCCACGTATAATGATATTTACCATCTTTTTCGATCAGAAATGAATTGATTCTGGGGATATTTTCCGGAGCGGAGCTTATCCTGTGTACAACAATTCCTTTAGAATGTCCGAAAACATTTATAGCTAAATTATTTTGCTTTTCCACCTTATCAATTTGTGATATTGGTGTAGGTTCGTCTATACCATCGAAGTTGAGTCCATCGTTTTGGGGATAGCTAGAAGGTCTATCCGGATTTTTGTCTACGGGGAACAATGCAGATCTTATCATCATTCTTAAACAGTCATCGGATTTATTTTTTACGTTAATTATGGCTTTTTTCTTCTTATAATACGGAGGTAAATCTATATAAGATCCACCTTTGAAAGGCATATAATTTGCTGTATCTAAATATAAACTATCGATTTTATCAACACCCCAACCCGAACCTCTATTAGTCCAGCGTTCTAAAGTTTCCTGTATCCTCTGAATTGATGTATCTAATGATGAGTTTATAGTATCGGATTCGGTTATAACTTCTTGATTGCTACGGAAATATGGTTCGGTATATTCGGTGCTATCGTCTGTGTTACTTTTACTCAATGTCATTTTAATCGTCAGCTGGTATTTTATACTATGTAAATCATCTAATTCCTCGTTAATTTTACTCGATATGATGGGCTTAATATCGTTAACATCCATGTTGGAATTAATATCCATCTTCCAACCTCTTAGATATTTACCAACGCCGGCGGATGTGGGTACAAATATTAATTCTTGATGTTGATTATCATTATCATTATTATGTTGATTATCAACATTATCAATAGGTTGATTATTATCTAGTAAAGCGATCAATTCAGCTCTTCTCATTCGAGAATAACCTCTCAGCCCACTGTTTCTCGCTCAAACTTTGAGTTCTCTAACAGTCTGGGGTCTGTTGTATTCCAAACCGAGTAAATCCATCATTTCAGCTTTTCTCATACGAGAATATCCACGCAGTCCACTTTGCCTTGCCATAGCTTTTAATTCTCTGACAAAAACCATTGTGGTTGAATGGTATATGCAAAATGAGACAAATGTCTAATTGGTTGTTTTCATATATCTAAATACATATTCTCCCCAACCTATTCCTCTCATTGATGTAATCTCTCTTCCTAGCATAAATAATCTGGTTCCTGACCCTATCAGCACCGTGTTCCTTACATAAACAATAACGACCTTTGACCCCTATCCCGCATACAGAACACGTATAGTTAATGTTTCCGCGCCTGATGTAATAATTGTGTATGCCGCAGTAAAAAAAATCAACACAGCGTCGGTTACAAAGGGTAGTCTTTCCCATGAGTGTAAACTTGCAGTTATTCATGGTATATACATCTATCATATCATTTGTCTAAATGCAAATCACAGCTACACTGTGAGATATTGATAATGCTATTTATAGATCATAGCCACAGCTGTCACTCTGACTTATGCATGGTATAGCTGAAAATCAATAGAGAAGTCAATCCAATAATAATAAATGTGACCTCTCGGTTCTTTTGAGCCTCTGACGGTGTATAAAACTGACTCATTGTTGGTCTCGGTATTGGGTCTAGTTTTTTTCCATAAACGAGGAAGTATTCGTGCATGGCAGATTCGACATCCTTAAACGTTTGAATTGAATGTCCTTCCTTAATCAGTTGTTCATGAATAAAGTCTAATCTCTTCATTCTCTGCTGTGTATATTGTAACTGGGTTGCTTGGTATTGTTCTAAAGCTTCATTATGTCGTTTACGCTCCTCTTCAACTTCTTTAGCGTTTGATTCCCTCATACTGGAAAATAAATAATTACTCCCCGAAAAAGCTAGAGCATTAACAACAGCTCCACCGACCATCATCGCAATTGTTGCCATAGTGTATAAATATAAAATATTCAAATGTTTAATAATATAAAATATTCAAATGTTTAATTACTTCATTATGTCTTCCGGGATAAGTCCTTGTTTGATGAGCATATCCTT